GCTGTTGGATGAAAATTTTTGTCCCAAAATAGTGTGCAATATTCTACCAGCGGTTTCTAGAGCTTAAAGTAGGAAGGAAAGTTTATATAAAATGTAGGGCTATTTGTTGTTTATCTAGGGGTTTAGGGGTTGGAAATCACGAGTCCGTGGATACAGATGAATGATGGCCGTCTATTGATTAAATACACGATATTGAATGAGTGTATATAACGCCGTCTGAGTCTTAAGTTCACGTCTTTTCTGTGTGTCTTTCTTGATCGGCGGCTGAGCACAGACTGCCCGTTGTCAGCCGTCAAAACGTGAGGCGCTTGCGCGGTTGGCTTCTCGATTGTTCTAGAAGGCTTTCTAGTTCAGTGGCGTAGGCAGCGCAAAGGCGTCGTCAATCAAGGGTCAAGGGTTACGCATTGACGCAAAATAAAACAAATAAAAATGATAAAATAACCTTATCCTACATAAACATAGGTCGACAAACGTCCCCTAAGGGCGCTACGGTCTTTTAAAGAGGCTCCCCTGAAGATGGTTTTTTCTTAATATTTCCGAAACGTTTTGAGATAAAGACATAGAATTTGGTATTCCAGCCCAGTTTTTTTTGCTGGATTTAAAAATATTAACAATTTTAGGCAGTTTTGTTTGGAAGCGTATGTAACAGGGGCGGACTCAGGTTATTTGAGCCCCAAAATGTTTGTGTGACTCTATTTTTGAAATTCAATATTAGAATTTGAAAATATATGGTTTTCTACATAAAAAAGGTACTCTTATTGAATATCGATGAATTGTGCCATTTTTGAATAAAATCAAACCAAAAAGTTTGTCACATGATAGGAAATGTACTGCGAATTTAAATGAATTGTTGAATAATTAGCCATGGCAACCAAAAAACTAATTTAATAATTGGTAAATATTACATAAATACATATTTCTATTGCAACATAGCAAACATTTAGGCAAAAACAAAATAAATAAATTTTTTCTACGAACGAAATTGAAATTTGTTTAAAAAAGGAGACATACAATTGGATATACTTAAAACTAGCTTTACAATAAGTGTTCAAATAAATAAACTAATGATTGCGTAGCCCGAAAAGTGGAAAACCTTTTTCTTCTTATTTCATTTGCAGCCTGATGGATTTTTTGAAGCAAATCTTCTTGAGTATGTACTTCAGTCGGGTAAACTAGGTCTTTTAATGAGCGCCAAAAATAGAAATCCAATGGATTTAGGTCAGGTGAACGTGGCGGCCACGCTATAGGACCTCCTCGGCCTAACCACCTGTCTGGAAAATTGACATTCAACCAATTTCGGACATTGCGTCCAAAATGTGCAGAGGCGCCATCATGTTGAAAAAACATATTTTCTTGAAACTGCTGGCGCACATCCAATGGTATTATATCCACGAGCTCATTCTGAAGTTCAGATACACCTCTGAATTAAGACGATTGGAAAGTACAATAGGCCCAATTACTTGATCCCCAATCACTCCTGCCCATAAGTTCAATGAAAATCTGTGTTGGAAATTTGTACGGCGAACAACTTTTGGATTTTCATCTGACCAGTGATGCATGTTATGGCAATTAAAAGCACCATTCCTAGTAAATATTGACTCATCAGACCATAATATTCTAAGAATAGTGTTTTCGTTTGCTAATATCCACTGGCAAAACTCGATTCGTGGTAAAAAAATCTACCTCCCTTAAATGCTGCACCCGTTTAAAATGATAAGGATGTAATCCTTGGATTCTTGTCATTCTTCCTATCTAAAATTTTTATTTTTAGGATAACTATCAAATAGGTATTCATAAATTTTTGCTACTATTGATCGAGGTGTATCCATATTTTCTGAAACATTTCGTATGCATATTTGTGGATTATTTTCAAACATATTTAAAGCAATATCCATACGATGATTTCCCAGTGGCCTTCCTGAGACCTGCATGCGCTGAAAACTTCCATGGTTTGACAAATTCCGGTGAATATCGACAAAACAAGTCATAACAAATCAAAACAACTTTTGTTTGCAGTCATGGCTAACTATGTATAATCAACAATTCATTTAAATTCGCAGTACATTTCCTATCATGTGACAAATTTTGTAGTTTGATTTTATTCAAAAATGGCACAATTTATCGATATTCAATAAGAGTACCTTTTTTATGTAGAAAACCCTAAATTTTCAAATTCTAAAATTGAATTTCAATAATAGAATCACACAAAAATTTTGGGGCTAAAATAACCTGAGTCCGTCCCTATTACATACGCTTCCAAACAAAACTGTCTAAAATTGTTAATATTTTTAAATCTAGCATAAATACTAGGCTAGAATACCAAATTTTATGTCTTTATCTCAACACGTTTCGGAAATATTAAAGAAAAGCCATCTTCAGCGGAGCCCTTTTAAAAGACCGTAGCGCCCTTAGCGGACGTTTGTCGACCTATGTTTATATAAACCTTTCTTCCTATTTTAAGCTCTAGAAAGCGCTGGTAGAATATTGCACACTTTTTTCGGGACACCCTGTATAAAGGTACCATAAAACCTTAACAGAAAATGAAAGTTATATTGATGGTAATAACAACGATAATCATAAATAAGCAGAGATAAATCATAAATCAAAATGTTTTCCGTTATTTTGTAGGCTCTGTACATTGTTCACTGTTCGGTTTGTTTCTCTTCTTCTCAGCCTTCTAAGCTCTGTTACTACGTTAAATTTGATGTATACGAAACAAACACTCCAAGGCCCACCTAGGAAATTTCCTTTTTCTGGAATAACTAAGGTTTGGCAATGTCAATGTATGACATGTTATACATTTTTGAAATCAGAATTGAAAACTCTATTATTTTTTGTAAAAATTCAATATGACGTTGACGTCCGTAATAAATAAATCATGGTTTAAAAAAACTAAAAAAAACACGCTTGTTATCACTTACCGACTAAAAAGTAAAAAATAATTTTTAACTACAAAGTACTAGATGGTCGAACAATCAATCATAATTAGTAACCTCAAAATAAAATTATAATAAAATTTAAGTTCTTAACAGAATAATTCAATGAGTGATGATAGAACCATTGTGATAAAATACTTTTTCAGCTCGACCTGTCACTTACCCCTCTGTGCGTGGAAGGGGATGAGGAATAAGGTTGTACACAGGGTGTTCCTTAATGATATGCGAATGTTAAAGGGTCTGAATCTACATGAAAAAATAATGTCAGTTTGCTTTGTAAAGTACGGTCCAAAACTCGGTACGCCAATGATTTTTTCCAAATAAAAATTATTTTTGAATTCCCCGTTCAATTTAAAATAAATTATCTCTCTTCAATTGTTTTTCTTCGATGTGCCATTTTTTAGTAAAAAAATAAAAACCGTTCTATTGTCCGAGAAAATTAATGTAATAATTGCAGAATGTAATTTAGCAATAAATATCTAGTTGCTCTGGAATATGTCACTGGCTTTTGACATCTGGCAAGTCTCTGCTATTCAAATCTGTTCGCTATGACATATTTTTCGTTATTTAGTTTTAACAAGCTTGTTAATAATGGTGAATTATTCAAATGCAGAAAAGGCGGAAATGCATTACGTATATGGCCTTGGTAATGGTGAGCAAGCCAGACAGATTTATCACCAGAGATATCCCGATCGTGCTTTGCCAGATAGACGAACCTTTTCTAATATTCATCGTCGTCTTGTTGAAACTGGTTCTGTCTGAAAAGGAACATCATAAAGGTAGACTTCTAATTGTGAGAACACCTGAAATTGAGGGAGCAGTGCTGCACGAAGTCGAGGAACATCCAGGAACGAGTACGAGGAAGATTGCTAGAAACTTAAATATTTGCCATCAAATTGTGTGGAGAATTTTAGTGGATTTTTTGTTATATCCTTACCATATTTTAAGACTACCGGCATTACTTCCCATTGATTTCACTGGTCAACACTGGTTTTGCCACACGAACTTTGACAGCTAATTTTGTTTTATCAGTCTACCCTCATTATTACATGACAGCTGTCATATGTCTATTAGCCTCATATTTGTTGTGATACGGTAATACTCATAACTAGTACTACGGCAGTAAATTAACAGAAACGCTTACAAGTAAATCCTTATAAAAATATTTGTTGTTGAATTTGAACACTTTTTTGTGATTTATTAACCCTGTGAATATGTCGAGGAAGTGTAATAATGATCCTAACTCTTTTTGTTATGTCTGCGGAGAACTAACATTCAAAAAACAACGACGAAATTTTACGAATCTTGTGTTGGAGTGTTATCATCGATGTTTTGGTTTTTCTGTCGCCCATCAAGACAAATCCTGGGCCCCTCATGTCTGTTGCATAACGTGTGTGAAAAATTTAACTGACTGGAAGAAAGGTGCACGACCTATGCCGTTTGCTGTACCCATGATATGGACTGAATAGCGAGATCACGTTTCAGATTGCTATTTTTGTCTCACAGACATAAAAGGTATAAATTACAAGAAAAAAACCACAGTTATTTACCCTAACTTATCTTCGGCCATAAGACCAGTCTCTCATTGTAAAAAATTGCCAGAACTAATACCAGTTGCAACTACGTCTGTTGAGAACAATTCACAACCGTCCACTTCAGGTGAATGTGTTGACGAGGACGATGACTTTGAGAAAGAAAGAAACAATATGTGGTACATGCATGATGGTGCACCAGCGCATTTCAGTGAATCGGTTCGTAATTATTTACAAACTATTCATCCAAATCGTTGGATTGGCCGCGGTGGGCCGCAAGAATGGAAACCAAGGTCCCCAGACATCAACAGCTTAGATTTCTTTTTGTGGGGCTATCTTAAGACACTAGTATACACAAGTCCCATTAACACTGTAGAGGAATTAAGAGAAAGGATAGTCGCAGCTTGTGATAGAATAAAAAACACTCTAGGGATATTTCAACGAGCGCGCAATTCCATGAGCTATGACCCTTAAATATTCGCATATCATCAAGGAACACCGAGTATATGGACAAAGTGACAGTTCAACATACCCTGACTATGCCGTTGACTAACGCTTCGAAGGTCTCCTGGATGAATCCCAAATTAGGTAAATCATACATGACGTTCATGAGAAATCCTCCTGGTGCACTATGGGTATGAGTACCGCTGAGGATGAAGTTCGAGAACGTGTATGTGTCACCGTAATTTTTTGAAAGCTTCTTCAGAACCTGAAATGTAAAAATACAAACAGCTTGTATCAAATTTTTCAGACAGGGAACTGGGAATAATAATCAGTAGGTATCAAGATAGTTCTCTCTTTATGAAAGAGAAAGTGAATGGCCAAAATATTTATTTCGGACTTCCATTGCCTAGAACAGAATTTGAGAAATACACGACGTTTCGACTAAGTTGCGTTTGTGAATCACTTGGTACACAGTAACGAGATATAGATTGACAGATGAAATTTCACTCTGGAATTCTGTGATACTTTATTTCTGGAACGCGTAAATTACACTGGACAACAAATTTTAGTTTTTTAATTGTATCTAGTGGAAAAAGTGCACTTCTTTGTTAATTTTGGGACGCTGAATCCAAAAATTAGTTGCGGTTTAGAAAAAAACTTTTTATTTTTAAGGATATATTAAAAAAAGTAACAAGATTCATATACTTATAAGAATCACTATATGCGCTGTCTTCTTGCTGTTCTTTTATGGATCGTTTCTGGAGCATCTCTACCAAGAGTCCAACAGTAGTCTGCAAGCATGGAAGGACTCCACTTTCCCTGGTACCTTTTTTCCATTGTTGAAATATCCTGATGAAAAAATGTATCTTAAGAGACATATTACAGCCCATCTTTTGATACGATGACAGCATATTTTTGACAAGGGTTTTATAGTTGTCAGCTTTTCTATTTCCCAAGAAATTAGTGACCACCAGACGGAAATCATTCCAAGCAGTTTTTTCAATACCTGTTAAAGTGTTTTCAAACTGTGTATCTTTCAATATATTTCGAATGTGTGGCCCAACAAAAATACCTTCTTTAACCTTTGCCTCACTTAGTCTTGGAAATTTCTGACGCAGGTATTGAAAAGCTGACCCATCTCTATCTAATGCCTTGACAAAGTTTTTCATTAGGCCCAACTTGATATGCAGTGGTGGTGATAAAATTTTTTTCGAATCTACTAATGGCATATGCTGTACATTTTTTTGACCTGGCTCTAGGAATTGACGAACAGGCCAGTTTTGTCTGATGTAATGAGGTGCCTTTGCCCGACTGTTCCATTCACACAAAAAACAGCAAAACTTTGTGTAGCCTAGCTGCAGCCCAAGTAAAAGTGCAACAACTTTCAAATCGCCACAAATATGCCATTGTGCTCATCGTATTTTATGTATGTCAATAGGTACTTCATATTGTCATATGATTCTTTCATGTGAACTGCATACCCTACAGGAAGAGATGGTAAAATATTTCCAATATGCAATAACACTCCCTTTAAACTCAATGTTGAACTGTCTATAAACAATCTCCATTCTTCTGGGTTATAGCTTATATTTAAAGCCGCCAGTAAGCCGTTAATGTTACTGCAGAAAACCAAGTTATTCTCCATATTGAAAAATGGTTCTAAGTCTTTGTGGCGTTTACGAAAAACACATACCGAAACATCGTCTTCTAACAAGTTCCACTGCTGCATTCTTGATCCAAGTAACTCTGCCTTACATTTTGGAAGTTATAAATCTCTTACAAGATCATTTAATTCTGACTGTGTTATTTTGTGCGGTTGGTGGCATCACGTGCTCGGTATAAAATCAGGATCTCTTGACGTTGATGGCATATCTTCTTCCTGACGAATCACTCGATCGCCATGATCTGATTCGTTTTCTGATTCGCAAGTGTAGGATTCTGGGGGTTTTGGAATAGGATTTTCGTCACTGTGAGACACAGGTCTCATCGCAGATGGTATGTTTGGGTAGTTAATAACCGATTTTCTTTTCAACACAAGGTACCATGCAAAAGTAACAATCATTAATATGATTTGTAGGCTCTCTCCAAACCATTGGGACAGCAAAGCGCATAGACCGTTTTTTGCCATTTAACCAGCTCCTCAGACTTGAAGCACATGTATTACAGCAGATGTGGGGTACCCACTGTTTGTCTTGATCACCTAGTTTACAACCGAAATAAAGCTGATATGCCTTTGTTATTAGTGGAGTAATAGACCGTCTCTGAGACGCAAAAGTCACATCACCACACACGTAACAAAACTGATCTGGATTGTTTACACACTTTCGAGACATCTTGCATGAACGCTGTCAGCCAACTGAGGAAAAAATGGCTAATATAAAACAATATAATGTACACGTATGTATAACGTAACACAATCATGCCGATTACATCATCTTTCCTTGCCGAATATAAAAATGTAACACGTGCATTCTTGTGAATTACAGTATATTAACACTGTCACAGCAGGAACACATATAATTACCGTATCTATAAAACTTGAACTAATATTGAAAAAATACGTTTCATTCCGGTTTTAGCACATTAAAAATAGTAATATTTTGTTGATTTTATTTAGGATATTTTTTTGGCTGTTGATCAGTGTTATTATAGTCATATGATGACACTTGATGACAGCGGACGAATTCATAGCCACGCTTTCTGCGACCATTGTATTTATTATAAGAAACGCTATGGATACGAGGCAGCCCAAAGGTTAGGAAATCTTAAAACTGGAGATACTACAGACCAAAATATGTGAATTGACCTAAACATACCTCAGTCCAAAAGTTGATAGTTTGCTAGATACAGGGTGTCGAAGTTACAATTTTATTTTCTATTTTTTTTTTCCAGGTTTTGGCACTTGGTAATGCGACGATGGTTTCTCGCAGATATTTGAAATTCTTCAAATTCGTAGGATTTGTACTTCTTAATAACCACAACAGAATTGAAGTAGATTGGTCAAGTTTTATAGTAAAGTACACAAGTTTACCTTGCCGATATGACTCGCAGACCATTCCGGAAGATAAATGTTATTCTTATGCAAAAAAGGATGGGTTACGTTTTTTCTTCTAAACAAATCCAAACAGCTCGTATTTCTGAGTAATTCACATCAAAAAATGAAAGACATTCGCTTTGTTTTAAAATGTGTAGAGTAACGTATGTTTTTCGAATATCGTAGCGCATTTGTTCAATTACTCACAAATACAGAATGTTTAGAAGAAAAAAACGTAACCTTTGTTTTTCGTATAAAAATAACATTTGTTTTTCGAACTGGTTTATGATTCATACCGGCAAGGTAAACACTTGTATTTTGCTATTAAATGCTCTTTCAGTGAACCCTGTATATTGCTCAATAAACTAGTAGTGATCACCGGAAAACAAGTGTTTTGGGATAGGCAATTAGGAATTCTCAAAAAACTACTTGACCAATATAATCAAATTTTGTTGTTATTTAGAAGTACGGATCCTATGGATTGAAGAAATTATCGTCGCATTACCAAGAAGGGCCAAAACCTGTATTTTGCCTGGTTTTTCCGCCGTAACAGCTTTGCTATTAGTGGGATCGTTTTACCTTCAATAACTTGCACGAATAAAACCAGGTTTTACAATTATTTCAAAGAAATCTGCTAATATGATTAGACTATAGTTTGAATACAGCTTCATTGAGAAAGACTCTCTGGCGTGTAACACCAGTTACTGTAACCCTCAAACCATTAAGTCTTACGGTTATGATTACCTACCAATGAATTTTATTAATTCAGGTGCTGCGCAATCTTGTTCCATCTTTTACAGATGAAACCCTTTCTACGATCTGAATACTCCCTCCAAATTACCTGCGATAATTGCAGACGTCTGAAAATACCTATCCACCCATCCAGAGAACGAAATTATTCCCAGTGCGGCGTTACTTAATGGATTTGTTATGTCCCCAATTAGACCTTCCTTATTTAAACCACTCAAAAGCAGGAAATCAGGAAGCAATTTTTGGGGTGCAAAGGAACCATGGGGAAATAATTTGAGTTGTACGCGTGGCTGTTTCATGATAACTGTGTTCTTCTTTTGCTTAGACCTTAGAGCATTGATTCCCAAAGTAGTCTATATCGACCCCTAGGGGTCTATGACAACCTGCAAGGGGTCTACGTCAGCGAAAAAAAATTTGGGGGTCCATGAAATGAATATGGGGGTCCACGATAGTGGATCTCAACACATACACTGATAGTACCTATTTACTTACATCATACTATCTTATAATATCAAAACATATACATTATTTATAAAAGTACCTATGAAGTAAAAAATTTATTATATATGTTTATAAAATTATGTAAGTTGTAGGATGTTGGTATTCGCTTTGTGGTCGCAATACATTTTGAACTTGTAAAAACCTGAGAGTCGCAGTCTCAGAGCTTCGCTACCTTGCACTGACTTGTTCAATTCGTCACTCTATAAATACGAATGTGGGACAAATTCGTTTATTCGTTTCCTGAATCTTGAAAAGGAAAGTGCTGAGAAAATATTTTAAAAAATATAAACAGATAGTACATCACACAAATTATAGTGAGTCAGTGTTATTTTGTTTGAGAGTGCTGGAGAAAAGTAAGTACATTATTTTTTCTTAAATTTTAGTTTTGTACTCGTAGTTAGCAAAGATAGATAAATTACGCCAATCATGACTTTAGTTATTAGTAGTTAAATATTCAATCATGCAAAATTACACGAGTACTCCTCAATAGTTTCTTTTTGAAAGTTTTAGCAATCGGTAATATAATTACAGTGCAATCTCCGTAATTCAAGCTAATTGTTGCAAGAAGATGTACGAATTATGGAATGTTTTCGAAAAATCAAAAAATATTTTTAATATACAGCTGCTGGATTTTCTGTCTTATTTAAATAATTTAATTTTGTCCACAGAAGACCGATGCCATGTCCGAATCTAAAAAGAAATGCAGACAGTACAGTGTTGATTATTTGAAATTTGGCTTCATTCCATCATTGCCGGACAAACAATCGCCTATGTGCCTTTTATGCAACAAAGTTTTGGGAAATGACGCTATGAAACCATCTAAACTGCAAGATCATCTGAGAAGATGCCACCCTGATAAAACAGAGAAAGATTTGAAATACTTTCAAACACTCAAAGATAAATTTCAGAAGCGACCTACACTGGACAGAATGTTCGCTTCGACGTCACAAAGAAATGATGATCTCGTTACTTATAGGAAAATCCAGAAAACCGCATACTATCGGAGAGAAGTTAATTTTGCCAGCCGTTGAAGTGGTTTTAAAAACTGTTTTACACAAACCTGCATCTGATATCATTAAAAGAATTCCCTTAAGCAACAATACTGTTGAAAGACGTATTGATGAAATGAGTTCTGATATTGAAAGCTTCTTATGTAATTATTTGCAAACGACCCATTTCTCTATACAACTGGACGAGTCAACTTCACCTGATAATGCAGCATTATTATTGGCATATGTTCGTTTTATTATGAATCAAGAAATCTACGAAGAACTGCTCTTCGCAAGAACTTTGATAACCGACACTAAAGGTGAATCAATATTTCATGTTTTGAAGGATTACATCATTGAAAAAGCAATTCCTTTATCAAATATAATATCAGTAGCTACAGATGGAGCACCTGCCATGGTTGGACGTTATCGTGGATTTATAAGCTATTTAAAACAAAATGTGTCATCCATCGACAACATTTAGTTGCTAAAAATTTGAGTGTTAGATTGCATGAATCACTTCATTTAGTCATTGATGCAGTAAACCGAATCCGAAGCAACGCGTTGAATACGCGGTTATTTGCGCAGTTGTCTGAAGAAAATGACGAACACTTTCATCAATTACTCCTTCACACTGAAGTACGCTGACTGTCGAAAGGCTTATGTTTGACAAGATTTTTTGCACTTTTTGAGACTATTTTAGAATTTCTGGATACTAAAGATAAAATTTTAAAAGAAAATTTAATGAAGAGGAAAACAGACAGTAACTCAGCAAGGCATTCTTGTTGCGATAATTGTCTCTGAAAGTTGTAATAATTATGGCGCGAAAATGTTCTCGGTTGAGTTCCATTTTTCTAATGACTTGGCGACACTTAAAAATTCACTGTAGTGAGAACACTGCACGTATTGCTGTGAAACTTTGAATTTAAGTTTACTAAAGAGTGAGGTTAAGATTCAGTACTAACGTTCGATCCGCGCGACCTACTATGTTTCTATATGCAAAACTTAAAAGACATCCCTCGTATGCCAAGAATGAAAAAGCTTTATGGTTTTTGAAAATCGGTTCAGTGGCGGCAGAGCTAGAGTCAAGAAGCCAAAAAGGTAATAATTTTACCTTGGAAGGATGGGGTCATGTTTAAGCATAAACAATTCTTTGGGACCGTTCAAGTATTACGTGAGCACTATGGGGGGCGGGGGGTCCTTTGCTTTGCTTATTTTGGATGACATGGGGGGTAGGGGAGTCCAGATGATGATTACGTCATCGGTATTTATTTACTTTTTTACACGAATGGCAACCCTCACATTGTCTTTGCTTGAAAACGAAACGTATTTTCGGGGATTCCCGCAAATAATGCATACGTTTAGTGAACAGCGTGCGGTAATTCCCATACTCGCTTTACAACCGAGTAGGGGAATTACCGCGCGGTGTTCACTTGTCTAAATTTCCTCTATCAGTGTATTGTTTCGTTTGGATACTATAGCTAGTAGACGTATTGTAAGCATAGTAAAGCAAGTTAACATTTGTGTTACCATTGATTGCATTAGCCAAAGTTTAATGTTTAAATAAGATGTCGTTTCACATAGACAAATCCAAGTTATACCAAAAATTGTTTGAAAGTTTTAAAAAATCTCATACAAGTACGAAAGTACAAAAGGTAGTTAACGAAGTGTGGCGAAATTACAAATTACAAGCAACATCCGACAAGGAACTAGATATTATTGTATCTAAGAGAATCGAAGAAGAATTGCAAGCGGCGACTAACAATAAATCCAATCTACTAGTTTTTTTCTAAGGTTAGTAACGAAATCATTTCAGGTACCTATGAGTACTAGAAATATTAGAAATCGCCAAAAAGTTTCTCTTTACTCTTTAGAAAATATTATGGCCTATCTCAAAGTATAGAGGTAATATTCATTATATTATAGATTTATTTCTTATGATTGATTCGGTCAATTGGTCACAAAGTACAGGATGTCAGTTTTATACATATATAAAGCAAACTAACACCCTGTATTTTGTGACCGGAACGAATAGCTCATTTAAACATATTAGATTTAAAGCCATAGGGTTTTGTATTTACCATATATACTGCCATACTTTGTATTTAGCTTAATAAGAGAATCTTTAGCAGAAGCCATAGAAAGTTTTTATTTTTAGGCAACCTGTAAACCTGCAGAAAAAACACAAATTATACAGACAGCTTCAAATATTAAAAAAGAGGAAGAAGATAAAATAAAACCCGGTAATGAATCACAACAGCAATGCGAAATTAATGAAAATACAGATAAACAGATAAAAATAAGATTGCTCTACTCGAAAAAAATCTGAATGCTTTGTAGGCTGCCAGAGATACTATGCCAAGCCGTGCTGAAGTTGATAAACAGATCATTAAGTTGCGCGAGGAAATAAAAACAGCAAAACAGTCTTTAAACAGGAAGGTTAAAAACGCAGTTGCCCAGAAGAAACTCAGGGATGGTATGAAAAGAAAGTTAGAAGATATTTGTCATGAAAATCCAGAAATAAAAAAAAGACTCTCTCTGAGGGATTCAGTGGGACGTCCTAATCTTGAAAGCAATCAACATTCACTATTGAAAACAATCGCGGATATAGCTTTATTTAGGAGTGCAGCAGATGATAGAAGACGAACGGAATCAATTCGCAGCGTAAAAACTCTTGATGAGCTCACACAAGAATTACGTAAAATAGGATTTGACATTAGCCGCAGTGGGACATATCTTCGTTTGATTCCCAGAAAATCTAATTCTGCAGAGGGACGAAGACATGTATCGACAGTCCCTGTTAAGCTCATCCGGGCTCAAACTGATCACCACAAGAGCCACTTAGATAGCAAGTTCGCTGAAACATCAATCCATTATTTAGAGAACATAGCATCCATACTTGGACCAGATCAAGTATTTTTCATATCTTAAGAGTCCCTATTGGCATAACTGCTAATACTCATGCTCAGGATTTCGAGACGCTTCTCGAACTTGAAGAGTTTCGACCATTAGCTAAAACTGACCATGGACTAGTAAAACCAGTGGTAATCATGACGGTTGATGGAGGGCCAGATGAAAATGCACGTTATCAAAAAGTCATAGGGTTTGCTATACAGCACTTTAAGCGACATGATCTCGATGCATTGTTTTTAGCTACCAATGCTCCTGGAGAAAGTGCGTATAACAGAGACGAGCGCAGAATGGCTCCACTTAGTCGGGAACTGGCTGGTTTAATATTGCCTCATGACCATTTTGGGTCTCATTTGGATGAACGTGGCGTTACAATTGATGAAAATTTAGAAAAACCTAATTTCGAATTTGCAGGAAATGTATTAGCTGAAGTATGGAGTTCAATGGAAATTGATGGCTATAATGTTAATGCAAAATTTGTTGGGGCAGGTGAACAAGATCTTCCTGATTCCTCCAGACATTAAATGGTATTCAGAACATGTGCGTGAGAGCCAGTACTTGCTTCAAATTGAAAAAAGTAGAAATACAGAATGCTGTGGTCCAATAAGTGGCCTATTTAGATTACTAGACAATAGGTTTCTTCCACCACCTGTAAAAGTAAAACAAACAGTTGATGACTTGGTTTTGGATGAAGGAGGGCAATTTCTTAATCTTCCAGTCAATTTAGCTCTACGCTTAAGTGCTTCACTCAAAGATGCCCTACGATTATTTTTGTCGACTGTAAAATTGAGGCTATCAAGTCGAACATGCAAAACGTGTGGTCTTTATCATGCTTCCGTCAAGTCACTAAATAGTCACATCGAAAATATCCATAAAAAAGTAAACACGCACACTGATAGGAAAGTTAGACCTGTAAGAGTCGCTGCTAGTCGTGCTAATGAACTGATGTGCATTATTCAAAATTTAGAGCACCATGATGTTGAATGGCTCGATGAGAACGACGTAGACATTCCAAAATCCGATGAAAGCGAGCAAACTCACAACACTGAGCAGCGATCGAAGCAATCCAATGTCATCGAAAACTTAGAATCATGGATGAACTGAAGACTGTTAATTTGAATTTAATACATGTACCAAAAATTTAAAATAAGTTTGTTATGTTAGTAAGATATAATATTTTTGTCCTTTACTCTATGTTGAATACAGCATTAGTAAAATATAACCTCTATCCTAAATCTATTTTCTTATTTTTCAAATTATAATTATAACGTTATAATTATAATATTAAAAAAAACAATACATTAATTGACAAATGTTTACGTAAGCATGAGGGAGGGGTAAGAGCTTTGCTTACTTTTGCTGACAAGGGGGATGGGGGGTAAATAATTGTAATAAATCTGCTTACGTAATACTTGAACGGCCCCTTTGCAAAAGGAAACTGGTGTCTATTCTTATTACTTAACAACGAGTAAGCTTACCGCTTTTTTGATCCCATGATGCATCATACAGGCGTCCACAGTGACAAAAGCTGCCCTTTTTGTACCATCGTCGAAAATGTAGGCTCTTGAATACTGACGTAAGTGGATGCCGCATCCCTTTTGGCCTGATTTAGCATATCCCATCTGAAAAATGATTTCTAGCGGTAACTACATGCGCACCGAAACACAGGCTTTCCTTAGCAGATATCTTGTAACTTTTATAATAATAATAGTAATAACAATAGCGTTTATTTGCAGAACAAAGAGAAAAAAATTGAAAATGAAAAATTAACTACAATTGCCTGAAAAAGGGACTAGTAAACAGAGAAGCTAATCAAAGTACTAGTCCAACAAACAAAATAACAACAGAGGAGTTCTTAACCAAACTATACTAAGTGACATATAAATCCGAACACCCAGTTTAAATGGTTTTATTTTAATAAAAGTTGGTGAATGTATTTATCTTACTGTAAATAACAAGTGAAAAAATGTTCAGCCTTATCAGTTGGACATTCCGGTTTTTATACTGCTTTCTTTTAATTCACTAACGCTCTAAAAATGAATATTTCAGCCGCAGTAAAGAATCAACGTTGGCGGATTTTGGTTCTTGACATCCTTTACGATCGGTTACGATGCCTAGAGTACGGAGACCTGTACGATTTCGTCAAGAGAGTTTGATAGGGGCCGTATAGTGGGACTTCGGGAAGCTGGACTTTCTTTTCGGGCAATTGCAGTTAGAGTGCAAAGAAGTGTAGACACTGTGGTTAGGTGTTGTCAGGCATGGCTTCGAGAAGGCAGTACGCAAAGAGCAAGGGGCACTGGACGCCGCCGTAGAACAACACACCGTGAAGATCGCCGCCTAAGATTATGGCCTTAAGGGACCGTGTTTCCACTACCAGGTCCATTGCAAATGAATGGTTTGCAGAACACGGAAGACCTATTGGCATGCGAAGTGTTTACCGACGAATGAGAAGTTTTGGCTTGTTTTCATACCGGCCACACTGGGTCTTCCCTTTAACTCGAGAACACCGACGTAATCGCCTTGAGTGGTGCAGACAATGGTCACTCTGGGATCAGGAATGGAACAGTATTGTCTTTAGTGACGAGTCTTGATTTTGTTTAGGCATGCACGATGGTCGTGCCAGGGTTAGAAGGCGACGTGGTGAAAGGAGGAATCCACAGTTTTTTGTTGAAAGACATGTTAATCACACTGTTGGAGTTATGGTTCGGGGTGCTATAGCTTATGGTTCCAGGTCACCTTTAATCTTCATCAGAGGTAACATGAACGCGCAGCGTTATATCCACGAAGTTCTAGGACCCCATCTTTTACCCTATCTTGACACCCTGGCATATCCAACTTTCCAACAAGATAATGCCCGACCACATGTTGCAAGAGTCACAATAGACTTCTTTCAACATAATGATGTCACATTTTTACCATGGCCACCAAGATCTCCCGACTTGTCCCCAATTGAGCACGTGTGGGATATGATGGGTAGGAGATTGCTCAATTTGCAACGTCCTCCTCAGACTCTAGAAGCACTTCCAGAGGAGTTGGTGGTTGCCTGGAATGAGATACCACAGGAGGACATTGACCACCTGATCAGAAGCATGCCTAGGCGCGTTGGAGAATGCGTAGCACATCAGGGTGCATCCACACATTATTAAAGGTCAAAGGGCTTTAAAGCAGTGCAATCATTTTGAAATTTTTATCATTTACTTATTATGCTTCATTAAGTACTTATACAAAATTTTATTAAAATAAAACCATTTAAACTGGGTGTTCGGATTTATATGTCACTTAGTATATACAAGTTAATATTAGAAATAATAATTATAAGCGTCAAATAAAATATATATATATAAAGAAATTATATACAAAATATAATTTAATGAAAATGGTCAAATCATTTTAGGCAGCCTTAACAGCAAAACATACTCATACATTTACATGCTCATAATATGTACATATATGTAAAACAAATAAAGAGAAAGGGAACAATATGAAGTAAACACTACAACCTCTAATAGACATTTTCTGTAACTTCTTTTGAAAGCTGACACAGACATAGATTTGTGGTGACGTGATAGTACAAGTGATAGATAAAATGAGAAAAAGATCTATTAAACATAGATGTAGAAACCGAACATTGATATTGTGAACATCGCTTCGAAATAATATATATATATTATTATGTATACAGTGTGTCCCAGATATTTGCTTCTATATACAAGGATCTCGAGTCCTGTTATACCTACAGCAAAGGTTGAATAGGTTAAGTTTTAGAGGGAACTTAGTGATGTCTCACAAGTGCATAAAAGATTGGAGTATCACCGAAATATCGGGTGATATGCATAAAGGCGAGTGGCTACTTTTGACTCGCATTTTTAAAGTAGCCACTCCATTTGATATGCATAAAAATGTAAGTAGAAGCTCACACTCATAAGTTTCTACTCTTTCCGTGAGGCTGTACTCGCTCCTTGAGTGCCGACTTCAATTTTTATATGCATAAAAGTGAGCGTCCACTCTGACCGCTGAGTGCATACTTAAAGAAATGCGAGATACGTTAGTAGTAGACTCAGCTTTATAAGAAGTGAACGAAATGGCCGAATTTATGCCTACTTATCAGCCTACGAAAGATCGTAAGGAATTAAAGGAAGTAGACTATCGGGCCTTATATCGGTTTAGTAAAGTTAATGTTGAGTGGATAAGTAACCATTTTCTTGGAGAGACAGAAGAATATAGCGGCGGTGCTTTGAGCAATATAGAAAGAATGAGGGTTTTTTACGATATGTGGGTGATCCAGGATTTCAAATTGGCATAGGAGAAGCTATTGGTGTCCATCAATCTACGGCATCCCGTACCGTTTCCAACGTTATAACACGCATTGTGCGGAAGTCGAGCATTTGGATTAGATTCCCAACCACATGTGAAGATCTACACAATGCTAAACATGAGTGGCAAGAAAAGTTCAATTTTCCTTCAGCTATTGGTGCTATAGACTGCACCCATATACCTATTCTGAACCAGATTATTCGTGTAAACGAATATGTGAACAGAAAGAACTTTGTTAGTATAAATGTACAAGCAACGTGCAATTCAAACGAAGAGTTCACAAGTGTGGATGTTTCTTGGCCAGGATCTGTACACGACTCTTGGATATGGAAGAATTCTGATATATGAAATGGAATAGGGCTAGTGCTGTTTTGTTGGGAGACTCTGGGTATGTTATAGCTCTCTGGCTCATGACTCCTTTTAGGATTGCAGAAACAGCAGAACAAAGATCATACAATCGGCTGTTTACGAGAGAGCGAGTTATAATAGAGATATGTTTCGGGCAACTAAAACAGCGATTTCCCATTCCACATAACAAAATACGCGTCGATACAGAAAAAGTGCCCTCCCTTGTCATGAGTTGTTTTATCTTGCATAATGTGGCTAAGCACCTTAATGATGAAGATTTTGCTGTTGATATACCGGGAAATGGCGAACAAGAAGAAATCCATAATCAACATGGTGCTGACTATGCAGATGGAGTGATACGTCAGAGAGGTCATTTTAGAAGAGATGCAATATCAAGAATTATTCATGGCTATCGGGTCTAAGTAAGTATCTAGCATGATCCAAATTTACAAATTATGTAGATATATGTTGATGAACGATGTTTAATTACTCATAACAAAATTAATAACACTTTCAAAATGGCAACTTAAGAAAAAGTTCTTAAAATTAATAAAAAATAACATTTATGAAACATGAAGTACTTTTGTCAGTTCTGTCCTGGAAATAGGCTCATGAAAATTGGATTGCCAGTTTCTGCACTTTCATTTAAAGTTGATAAATTTGGATCAGATTCATTAATATTTTTCTTGTGAAGTAGCAGTTCCTTAGCTAGCCGAAACACTTGTATTTGTTCAAGTAAAACGAGACGTTGGAGCTCTGTTATTGATAAATCTCGTGCTTCATCAGTTTCCACTAATCCGTTTTCCTTTTTTTTAGAAGGCTCCTTACTGGGTCCGGCTTACATTGTGGTAGCTTTCAGTACTGGTCCTGAACTTCCAGATGCTTCTTCGGTGATTGTTTCTTCTTCAGCACAGGCTGTTGGAGTGTAATCAATGCTTTTTTGTGGGCAACCTGCCACAACAGCACCCACAGTTTAAAATATATGCTATTTATATTTATTGAGATGTATATATATTATACTCAATCACATCTTATACCTACTGTATGGAAAAACAAAAAAATACAACTAACATTGCAATCGAGTAATACTAGGATTTGGTTCTCCTTGTAGAAAATTGAACAGTTCTTGTTCCCATCCTTTCAATTTTATTGGTTTGTTTCCGGTTTGATATCTGTCTGTCTTCGCTTTTAATCTGGTTTTTATGTTTTGAATCTTCTTACAAATCTGCCCTTCGTTATAATTAACTCCCAATTCGGCTTCTACCTTTTCCTTTATTTCTTTAGCCGCCTTACGTCGTTTATTTTTGATTTCCGGGATGTTAGATTTTTCCAACAAAACAGGATACTGTTCAATTATATTAACAAATACTGTTTGATTTTCAGATGAATGGTCTTCAGAATAGGTATAATCGACCTAAACACCACCGACACAAACGTTTACTGGTATACAGTAGTAACTGCTCGCAATAGGGAAATTGCCAATTCGACGAGACAACAAAATACAAGTCGGAACTCGAAAACCAGAGTGCGTACTCAAGAACTTCATTAGCACTTGAGTAGCCTCTCCGTTTCTCGACAAATATTTTATGCATATCAAAACCGAGTATGCTCTCCCTAACAGGAGTAGTTACTCGCTACAATATGGAGTAGCTACTTCTGAGAACCCACTCGCCTTTATGCATATCACCCATCATCACACATAATGTTATGTATCAGTTTTGTTTTGATTTATTTGTCGGAAAATAACATTAACGAGTAAGGCATAAAAAACACATACACGCCTTGAATTTTATTATTATCGTTAATATCAAATATTTTGGGACAAATTCCCAACCACGACTGTGTTAAAGAAATCGATCTAATCGAAAAAAACCTATTTTTTGTTTTTTTAAATCTTGTTTTTTTGTAACACTAAATAGGTGCAAAAGATTGCTACCTCAAAATAAAAATCGACGAGTCCAAGCGAATTTTTTCCAGTGCTCTTATCGACAGAAAGAATTTATCACACAGATTTGTAATCATTATTGTTTG